GCTGGTTGGTTATTCTATGGATGGAAAGAATATTGCCACTTGGATGAATGACTGATTGGATAGGTAGCTTTGTGGATGATTGGATGACAAGATGTTTGGATGGCTGAAAGGCTGAACGATGAGTACATAGATTGCTGCTGTATGGACGGTTGGATGTATCAATGGATGTAATAATGGCTCGTCCGATGAATGGATGTATGACTCACTTGGTAGTTAGATGGACGGATAGATTGATGCCGCTTAGACAGACGACCGATAGGATGGATAGCTTGGTGAATGGATGGGTGATAAGATGTTTGAGCGGCTGAAAGGATGGACGATGAGCACATAGATTGCTGATGTACAAATTGTTGGACGGATCAATGGATAAATAAATGGCTGGTCGAATGACGCGATGGTTGGTTGACTGGTTGCATAGCTGCTTGATGGATAGATGACTGGTTGAATGGTTGCTTCAAAGATTTAGCAGATGGACGTTTTTACTAATGGCGATTGACTTGATAGACGTAAGGATAGGTGGCCAGATATCTGGATCTAGGACTGGATGTTTAACCTTTGTACTACACTACTCTACCCTGCCCTGTTTTCTTTAGTCATTACTGTATAAGATATAGCTAAACATAAAAACTTATCCCAAGGAAATTTTTACTTCAAAAAGATGGCAAATAAATGTCACAGGCATTTAAATGAAGCAACAAACGCACTCAATGTCTAGCAAGCAAAAAACAATTAGCACATAAAACTTTCAAACACTTGTCATACATTAGGTGATACAATTTTGTCAATAGTGCTTTTTTTTGTCAATAGTGCTTTTTGTCAATAGCTTTTGTCAATAGTTGCTTTGGTATCACCCTTCCTGAATATGAATCACGCTTGTTGAGGTGTAAGCTGAACTATAGAAGCGGGAGGCGTTCCCGAGGAGCGCAGCGACGAGCCAAGCCGGGATAACTATTGCCCGTTAATTCAACCGGCCATGCCTCTAGCCATCTATTCATCTAACCGTCCATTCAAGTGTTCATACTTTCAGCCATCCATTCATCCAATCAAGTTTTGTTCCAACCAGCCACTCATCAAACCGTCCTTCATACAGGCTTCTATCCGTTGGTATATCTAGCTTTACCTCCGTACATCTATCCAACCAACCCACCATTCAAAGTTTCAACTTTTTTTCTATTGCAATCAAGGGTCACTACACATAGATATGGATATTTATAAACAAAATCGGCTTAACCTCTGAGGTTTCAAAGTACCTATCATTACTACCGTACTTTGGATTCAGGTACTTTACAGAAATTGAGTTACTTTTTGTTACTATAAACAATAACACTCAATGTGATTGTGTATCCCATTGAGTGTTATCAATGGGATTGTGTATTTAGAAATTTGAAGAAGTATGTGTGAAGATTTTTTTATATAGGTATGTCAGAAAGTATGTAAGAAAGTATCTATATGATTATCTAGGTAAGGCAATAAATGATTTATCTAGGTAAGGCAATAAATGACTTAACTAAGTAGGCATAGATATATAGATTTGAGTGAAATTGAGTTAAATTAGGTAGAAAAAATAAAGAAGTAATTTAAAGTAAAATTAGGTAAGTAAGTAGGAGTACGTAAATGTGAAAAGGTAAAGAAACAAAACTTAAGAAAAAAAATAAGTAAGGATTTAATTGAAAAGAAATTAAAGAATGAAGTAATGTAGAGTAAGTTAAGTAAACTAAACTAAAATAAAGTAAAACAATGTGAAGTTAGGTAAAGTGAAGATAAAGTAAAATAAAAGTAAGGTTAAGTAAAGCGAGTAAGTTTATTGGGAGTTTAGGTAAAAACAGTAAAATAAAAATAGGTAAAGTTAGCTAAGACTAAGTAAAGTAAAGCAAAATAAAGTGAAGGAAGAAATAAAAGTATAGTTAGGTAGGTATAAGACTAACACTTAAGTAAAGGAAGTAAGCTGAAATGAATTAAAGTAAAAAAAAGCTCAGTAAAATAGCCTAAATTTAATTAGGTTTATGTAAAGTGAAGTAAACTGAAAAGTAGGTAAGTAACTAGGCAGAAAGTAAATAAGCAAGTAATTTTGTAAAAAAGGAAGTAAGTAATTAAGTAAGTAAGTAACTAATTAAGTAAGTAGGCAAGTGAGTAAGTAAGAAAGTAAGTAAGTGATTTAACCAAAAAAAAAGGAAAGTAAGATGAAGTTAAGTGAACTGAGATGAAAAGCTGGTAAAAAAGAAAAGGTTAGGTAAAATGAATTAAAACAAAGAAAACTAAATTAAAAAAGAAGTAAACTTATATAAAAATTAAAATGGACATAATTGCAATGACTGTATGTAAGAAAAGCGTAAGTAAGTATGGGAGTAAGTAAGGAAGTCTGTGAGCAAGCAATTAAGTAAGTCAGTAAAAAGTAGGATGGTAAGCAAAAAGGAAATTAGGTAAATAAGAAGGGAGGTGGGTAAGTAGATTTGTAATTAAGTTAGTCAGTAAGTAACTAAGTTAGGAAGCAAGTAAAAAAGTGAGTAAGTAAGTAATTAGGTATGTAAAAAGTAAGTCAGTAAGTAAGAAATTGAGTAAGTGAAAAAGAAGTAAGCAAGTAAGTATGTAAGTAAGTAAGTAAGTAAGTAAGTAGGTAAGTAAGTAAGTAAGTAAGTAAGTAAGTAAGTAAGTACGTAAGTAAGTGAGTAGGTGAGTTGGTAAAGTAAAAGAAAATAAGATAGAGTAAGGCAGAGTAAAGTAAAGTAAAGAAAGAACGCAAAAAGCAGTGAAAACATCAAAGTAAAGTTGATTAGGTGGTGTTGAGTAAAGTTGAATCATGTAAAAAGAAATAAGTGAATTAAGTAAATGAAGTAAAGTTAGGCAAAGTAAAGTGATGTATGCTTGTTGTTTTGTCTGTCTGTATGTATCCAAGTATGTGTGTACATTTTGCAGCTATGCAAAATGTATGTATGTTAGCATGTAAATAAAAAGTGTGTTGGAAGGTTGGTTTTTAAAATTTAGGTATATTTAAGTAAATGAAATTATGTATTTTTAAGTAAAGTAATGTAAAGCAAAGTTAAGTAAATTAAAATAAATCAAAGCATGACATTAATAAAGTAAAAGGGAAAAACGCAAAGTGAGAAGAATTTGAATCACAAGTAAATAAAAAGTAAAATTTTAAAGTTAGGTACAGTAAAAAAACTAAGTGAGGAAGTAGTTGAATAAAAAAGAATAAGTAAAGGATAAGTAAGCCAGAAAATAAGTAAGTAATTAAATCTTTTGATAAATGATAAATAGGCAAACCCCAGAAAGTCGGCAAGTATTACTTGAATTACTGAACGTCTCAATTGAACGCTATCCAAACCATAAAACCGTTCTCAAGGCCATTAACTAAAAAGAGGTAGCTGAAAAGTTTTCAAAGTTCCAGTTGTTTAGGTCTCAAAATTCAAATTATTATTCTGGCAGAGGTAAAAGTCAGTTTATTCTAGGTCGCTGTTTTGTAGACATATGGCGGTGTGCACATGACAGAGCTAAAGACTGCCAGTGTTCGAAAGTTAACTGCATAACCTTGTGCAGATAAAATATTCAATGTAAAACTTTTGGTTTTTTCAAGTTATTGAAAAGACAGAAAACTATTCCCCTCGAATGGCCCAGAAGGCTGTGTTTATAGTTCCTGGGCAACATATAACAGTACGTTGGACACTCCTGATAAGTTTAAATCTGGCTGTATCGTGCAAAAAAGCGTGCAATCATAAGAACTTGTAGTCGTTCAAGTACTTTTCCAAGGAAAAGTTTTCATACCAATTAAGCCGTCATAAGGTCTCAACTTAATTAAAACGTCGCAAGTAAAGTTATTAGAACTAACAAAGAATGAGAAAAAGATATCAAAAGTTCTTTGGTTAGAACTGTCATAATAAGTTTGTTTTAAGGACAAACTTGGAGTAACTCGGTTTTTCCCAATTTCAATGTTTTTTTCCAACGCCTCTCCAAGCTGCTACATGTCAGCCAGTGGAGATAAAAGATACCTAGCAGATACTTTTAGTCTTGTCTACTTTCCGGCGGTAAAAAACTAAATGAACTACCGGAAACACTTTTATTTTGTTGAAATGCACCAAGTTTTTGCAAAAAAGCTCGGTGCACTTTTTCATTTACTTTTCACCTGTTCCTTTTCTACTCGTCCTTTCCTTATTGAAACTTCCTTTTCCCTCTAGAGAAAAACAGCTTACTGTTCTTCCCCGGTTTGGAACTTTGAATTTTTTTGGTATGGTTGAAAACCCTCTAAATTGTATAGAGTTAATTATGAATATCTTAAAAACACCAAGTTCCCTCTAATTTCATTTTTCTCATTTCAAAATTTGACGAACGTATCATTTGGTATAATTTGCCCAGAAACGGCCGCCGCCTTTGGAGAGTAGTTTCAATTTACTACTTTTCACCAAAAAATATAGGTCAAGTTAAGGAACTAATTTACTGCTGCCAACAGTTAAGCTACGCAGCCAAAATCGCCGGCGAATTTTTATTATATACCATAAAAGTCTATCCCCGTTCACTAACAAATTTCAACTAGGTCGAAAGTTCATTTACCCGAAACAAATATATCAATTAATATAATTCATATAATTAACCAGGACCAAAAATTAGGACCCCAAAATTTGGAATTAGAATGAAATTTGTATCGTGTCCCTTGTTGTTAAGCTAAACTTAGCAAGATCCTAAGTAGGGGGTCTTCTGCTTTTAGGGTGGAAAATTTCTTTCGTTTACTAAATCCTAGGAAGAGGGTCCTCCAAAAAATCAAGGACCCCTTTCCTATGATTTTGCTTTACGCGAGGACACCCCACCCCCCCCCCCCCCTTAGGAAGGACCCCCCGCACAGGATCCGGGACAAGATACAATACTACTATATCCACTGAAAAATCTTGTGAAGTTGCTTACTGGGAAAAAGTTTAATACCCGGTTGCAATACCCTGCTTATCACAAAGGCAAAAAATTTAACAATGGATACTGAATGGCTATTTGGAATTTTTACTAATTGCTCTCACCGGATACTATTCCCGCTTGATATGCTTGTGAGTTTGGATCCACTCTGTCCACGAAGAACTTCATTTTGTAGGAACTGCCATCCACTTTCAAGTCGAAGTTGCACTTCTAAATTCAACAAAAACTAGCTTAAGTTCAAGTTGCAATATTGAAAGAATTATTTTCTGCTTTTTACGAATTGATTTATGCTTGTCAGATTGCTAGGCTATTTTCCTCCCCTCCACCTGCTTTTCCATATCCCCTTACTTGAGCAATCCTATCCCCCTTAATGACCAATTGAGTTACCTTCTCGGCACAAGACAAAAGGAGTTATCAAACGCGATCCCCCTCCCCGATCAAGTGGTTGATTTGTAAGTAGTCGATTGATTGACCAAATGATATTTTTTAAAGATTTTTGCTCAGGAGACCATTGCATCGAGGAAAGCAATCCACCAACGTTGATACTCTAACCTTGTTTATAAATATCAAGACTTGTTCACTGAATAACCTCAATAATTAACGTAATTGCCCTTTTTCAAATAAGACAGTAAAACCGGTTTAAAATGTTACTAGTTTAGTCCCTTTTTTCGCTCAGAAACTAAATTTCAAAATCGTAAATTTTGGCTTTCCAAATTCGTTGGAGAACCTGTCACGTGATTTTATATACACTCGAAACTAGTTTCCAGTTTCAAATGGTTAAAACACGCCTCAAAACCGATTGTGTTGGGAAAATTTTAATCCACTTTCGAAACTAGACGTTGATCACGTTTTTCGTTAATTAAACACTTTTGCTGTTCTTGAGGAGTTTGCCTTTCTGTTAACAAAAAATGGAGTGATCTTTTATAACAGAGGCGAAGCTGAGCTTCGCGCCACTTGCGATACAATAACTCAAAATAAAAACCAAAAATTCTGCACGAAACTTTGTGCCACCTGTTTCTTTGACGAACTCTCATCTCAGATTTTGCAGGGTGGTTAAAAACGGTCCCAAAAATAAACAAACTTGACTTTCCCGAAGTCTATAGCTTTTTTCTACATAAATAAGGGCGTACCAGCTTATCCAGCGATGAATTCCGATATTTTCTATTCCAATTGAACCATTAATTTTGAAACTGGAAAGGCAATTTTTTGAGAACACCAAAAAATCCCAAAAAAAAGGTCAAAGTTTCAAAAATTTCACTTTTTCCCATGCGATTCTTACGAAAAACAGGAAGTTAGCTAATGCAGGGAGGATTTTAAAAACACATCATTTTGTTTTAAATTTTGATATTAAAATAGTATTCAGGGTAGTCAAAATTTCAGTGCATGATCGGGGCTAAAATGTCAAGTGATTACCAGCATAACCACAATCCTTGACAATAGGCAGGGTAGTTTTCGATAAAAGTAACAAAACACAATCATACTCGAATAAATTTGACTTTTTCGAGAAATAAACTCATTGACTACAAAAAAGAGCGTAACTGCTGACGCCGGGAGGATTCCCACAAACAGCTTTTTCTCAATTGAACCCTTAATTGAAGATATGAGAGGGCAGTTGCAGTTTTTAAGGAAAATATGAAAAAAAGGACCAAACTGTCAAAAATGGCCTTCTTTGACGCTACAACATTTTTCTATTTCATTTAGGACGTAGCGGCTTATGTAGAAAGATCCCCACTACCTGTTCTTGCCAGTAAAATGTTAATCTCAGAATTGGTACGGCAGTCTCTGAGACAAAAAAATCCAAGAAAAATGAGTCAAACATTCCCACGTTTAAATTTTCGAAAACCTTTGAAGGTGGAGTAAGGTTAAAAAAGACTATAAAGTATACAGACATGCAAAGTATTAGACGGTCTTTCATTGGTGCCAGATTTTTGAAAATCAGTGAAGAAATTGTCGAGAAAGTACAACTTCAGCAAAAAAGAAAAAAATCCGCCTGAGCGTCTTAAAAAATCATAACAAAAAAACAATTTGATAACACCTGATTTCATCAACCATGATTGCCCTCGAAACTACGCAATAGAAATTGATTATGCGATAAAAACAGCCAAAACCGTTTAATCGTAGAAAAAATATATATAACAATATTAAAAATCAGACTTGGAAAACCGACTAAATCCAGAACTTTGAGAATTGTAGTAAAAAAACTATAAAATCAAAAAAATCCGAAGCTTTGCAAAATAAGCCGATAACAAGCAGTACCAGATAATATAGATTCAATTTTAAAAAACAAATTGAATCGACGGAAACTTGTCAGAAAACCACGAACCCGAAAAAAATTAAAATTTAACATTTTATTTGAGAAAACTATTTGAAAAAATGAACCCCGGAAATGGACTACACCTATGTACTACCTATATAAAGGTTAGTTTTATTTGAGCTTTCAAAGAAATAGAGCATATCTTCAAATTCATCATCCCTAAAAAATTGACCACGGGGAAAAAGTCCAGAACCCGATTGCAATACCCTTACCTATCGAAAGGGTAAAGAAACGAATAGTCAAACTGCGAAAAATCAAATTTGAACGTGAAAAATTAGTAGAAAAATTTCTGAAAACTCAAACTACCTATATAAGTCTTCCCTACGATCATCGAATCTTTATTAGTCTGAAGAAAAATCTACTCAGCAAGAATATTCCGTCGTCTTTTCGACGATTGGAACAACTAATGAAACACTTAATTTGAGTCTAGTAGGGAATTATTAGTATCAATCTATTGCTTCAATTCGATTTGGAATGATCACTCAACAGTTCGGAATTGGGGTTAACCCGGCACGCTAAATAGTCGCACTTACAGTGTAGCATCATATATTAATGCATAAAATCGAGCATGATTAGAACCCACATATTGACAAACTGGTTAACTTATTCGCAGGTTTGATAGCATTGAAAAACTGTTGACTGGCCGTATAACACTTCGCTTGCGAGCTTTTAAATGATATATGTAGACAAAATATCAGTGGATAATCAGGGCTAAAACCTCAAGTGATCACCAGCATAACAATAATCCTCGGTAATTCATTAGTATTTCGACATATAGCTCACCTTTAAATATATACCATACTTCTTGTAGACACTGCCATCTGCAGTCAAGCTAACAGTCCGTTTTGTTCCCACCAACATTGAGACAGAATTATTTGAGTTTGATTCCATAATGTCCGACTTCTTCGTAACAGCTGCTGTCAGAGTTGAACCAGATCAACAAATGGTAAATCACATCTATACATATCTGCTCTGAAAAAAATGGCCAAAGTTTTTTTTATGAATGAAAGCTTCACAAAGAGCAGTCTTTAAATTGATCAAAATGTACCTGCAGCTGGTACTGGATGGTCGTTTTCAAATTAGCTGAAGTCTGTTCATTTTTTACTCTTGTTATTATGTTTCTATTGAACATTATGTCTTTAATTCGTCTTAAGCTTAAGAACAAAATATCATTGCTTTAACGGCTGCTCTCTTGGTTAATTTTGTCGTCGGTAAATTTTAAGCCATTATAGAAGAATGAGCGTCTCGAGAATAAGTAGAAAATATTGGTCTCAAAGTATTTTTTTTACCTTAAGTGTCCTGTGAATTATGTATATATCTAATTCAACTTACTACATTAACGGCGAATAATGTTAAACATCATGGGGTGGGACGACAGCTTAGATGTGAAACTTAGAAAATATCTTCAAAGTATTACATTATATAGCAGGATTTAGTCAGGTCAAGTAATCACGGCACCGGTTAGCTCAAAGTTGTCGTCCAAATCAATAAATAAAGGCCAATGTCGCATGAATTACTAGTTACCGCTATTATGACTATTTTACAAGATGGTCCGGTTTGCACACACGCTATTGGTAGTTCAAATACTTTTAAATATCTTTTTTGGTAAAAATTCGTTAAAAAAAATCAACTGTAAACAGCATTGGGAGATTTGTAAAAGCGCTTATAAAGACAAGCTTTTAAAGAGATGTTTTTAGAGAAAAACTAGATTTACCCCAAAATTTTATTGTTAAATATGTATATTGAGCTACCAGCGATGGAATTTCTGAGTGGAAAAAATCACCTGAACACTAATCTATAGCACCATTGATAGATCATTTATGAAAATTGGGCAACGTCTTCTAATCCGTAGCACACCTCAGAACCAATCATGGCTTTTAAATTCTTAAAGGTTCAATTGAAATATCAAAAATGGCTGAGTATGTCATATTGTACCAGAAGATGATTACAACTCTTCAAACTGTTTAAATAGACCCTATAACCTGTTTCACACTCCAGGCTTAGTTTATTTGCCCATGGTTTGATCGATTACGTCTCAAATGGCATAATTCCCAAATGGCATAAAAATGAAAAACTTCCCAAATGGCATAAATTTCATGCAACAGTTGCATTAAAAAAAATTGGAAAACTTTTTCGTGAACCATGTGAGAAAATTAGTCAAACATTCAATTCAATAGTTGATTGAAACTTTATCTGGATAAAATTGTCGACATTTTTATCAAAAGCAAAAAGCATAAGCTTGCGGATATTCATATGTTTCTCGTGGCCAATTTTTCCGAAAAAATTGTCGCTTAGCATTTGCTTGGAAGCAACTGATTTCAAATCTTCTTCACGCTTTCGTTCCTGGCAAAATGTTAGAATGAGAAATTTAAAGAAAACGTTTGAATTACAATAAAAACTTGAAATTTACGCCATTTTGGGAAGTTTCTTTTTTATGCCATTTGGGAATTATGTCATTTGGGAAGTTACCGTTTTGATCATGTTCAAATCCATTTTTGGTTCCAAGGGAGTAAAAGCAGCTTGCTGTTGTACAATTTTAACTTCTAGTATAAGTTGGATAGTGACAAACTTAACACTTTACCTTATTTGAAACACGTGATTAAATATGGTCAATTGTACATGTTTAGATTAAAGAACCCTCAAAATACGAAACGAATGAAAAAGTAAATTATGCAGAAAAAGATCCTGGCACTTTGTGTTAATTAGAAAAGTCACACAGCACTACTGATTTGAAACAGAGTTGAAAATGACACATATCACAAGCATTCAGACATCTTATGATAGCTGAGTTCGGAACCATTGCCAGCCGTACTCTACAATACTTGGTACATTTATTCATAATTGACACTTGTAAATCTCTCTGAAATATAATGCACCAACTACTGTAAATAAGCCGAAAACCGAACGAATGGCCCAAGTGTTTTCGGGCTAATACTCGTCTTCCGAGCACTGACTTTCATCGGACGAATCACTCTCGTCAAATCCGAACTCATTGTCTGGATAGCCCCGTTTCATCTGTTTCCTCGCAGCGCCTCCCGCTACTCCGTTTTGTCTTCGCTTTGCACCCGCTGCTGCCGTCAGTTCAGAGGCCGGTGCGCTTTTAGCCGTTTTGTAAGGTTCAACGACCGAGTAAAGAGCGACCACTGCATCTTGCACTGCTTGCACATTATTTGCAGTCAGTGTTACACTGCCGGTTGAGAAGACCTTGGCGATGGGCTTTCCAGGTATGTCCTTGAAACGGACTACGGCAGCCGGATGCAACTCTGGCTCGTACTGAACTATTTTCTCCGTCTGTGCTAGTTTTGAAAGCAGCACCCCGAAAGGCAGCGATGTTGTCGCCAATACGTTGTTCACTTTGAACTTGGAGAACTTCACCTGAAATCAAATTTTGTCTCATTCAAATGGTCTCATTTTTTGCACTTAGCTATCCTTATTCTTCTTGAAAACTTTGACATTTTAAAACATTGGTTCTTAGGCTGAAATAGATACTGACGTTGAACCCTATTTTCTGCAGAATTCTGGCTATTCTTCGACAGGCAACTTTGGCTTCTGAGGCACTAAAACAAAATGATTTGTCATACAACTGTTTCTACTGGCTATAACGAGAAAGGAAAAATTTCGACGTAACAATAGAACCCTAATTTTGCCAGAACAAAATGACTTCTTTCGATTTCTGTAGACACACTTTCCAAATAGAGTCCATTAAAAAAACTTCAAGGCAGTAGAAAGGAAAGATTCACTTACGATTTAGCACCAGTGCAAGTAATTTTGCCTGAAGACCAGATATTGGCAGTTACTTCTGGCTTCCTCAGCTTCATCATAATTCTCTGAACATATTAACTTCCATCATGCCTATCCCTTACATTTATTCATACATATCACTTAAGTCTGTTCAAACACATCGCCAAATTAGGGAAAAAAAACAAAAAAAGAGATGGATTTCTTTCACTTCCTTCATTTTCTAAATTCATAGAAAGAACAAAGCCAACAGACAGTTGAAAAAAGTCAATAAACGCAAGCAAACAGAAAAAAAACACAGATTGTTTTTGTTTTAAACCTCAACCTTAAAAATTCGAAGACAAAAATGATGGCCTCAAGGCGCTTTGAGTTTCAGGACCAATTTATGCTTGACACTTTTTGGATAAAATTAACCCAACTTGAAAAAACTGGATCAATAGGTAGATTTTTTATTTCGCTGATAAATCCACCAATTAAGTTCCGTTTTCGAAACTATAAGTCAATCACGTTTTTCGTGACTTTTACATTTCTGCTGTTTTATAGTGCAGTTCGCCTTCGTCCAACAAAGGAAATAAACAGAAAAGAAATCAACAGTCAAACCACGCAAAAGTGCCTGAACAAACTTTTCCTGAAAAAAAATCATGACGAACTATAAAAGAATCTGAACTACGTTTATTGATTTTAACCAATCCGAAAAATCTTAATATCATGTTTATTAGACAGTTGTGGGAAAAGCGCCTAAACATTAAGTAAATTTTGTAAGAACTTAAAAATAGAAGCCTAGACAAAAAGACCGAAATTTAGTTCACTCCGATAAAGGTTTACATCTCAGACTGAAAACTTCCGAAGAAACTAAAATCTGCGATTCAGGCCAGATGCTGAAAATATTCCGCTGGGAAACCCAAAACGAAAACTCATTTTTGAAACTGAGCTAAATTTCATTTTCCCTCCATTTACATTTTCTGATTAGAGAGCGTAATTTTCCCTACATATTTGAATTGAACTTAATTTGAATTAAACTTGAAACACAGAGGCAAAACAGAGCTTCGCAGCACTTCCTATGCTACGCAAACATAGCATGGCAGCTAGTCGGAAGAAAATGAGACAGCTACCAAAACTGATAACATAGCCAACAGACAGTTGGAAAAGATCCAATGATCAAAAATAAACGAAAAAAAAAAAAAAAAAAAAAAAACGATTTTATTTTGAAAAAAAAAATCAAATTTCTAGGACAACTAGACGACCTTAGAGGTCTTTAGAAAAACTAATGATTGGCACTTTTTGATATAATAAACCCAATTTGAGAAAACTGGATCAATCAGTAAAATTTTTAGTTCGCTGGGAAACTCCATAATTCAATTCCACTTTCGAAACTCGAAGTCGATCCCTTTTTTCGTGACATTTACAATTTGGCTGTTCGTTTGAGGATTTTGCCTTTCTTTTAACAAATGAAATGAACCGAACTTTACAATCAATCCAGCGTCAAACCGCGAAAAAGTGAATTTGAGCCTAAATAAATTTTCAGACTTTTCCTGAAAAAATTTAAAAAAAATCATTGCGACGTATGAAAGAGTCTGAACTACGCTCATCGACTCTTTAAAAAAAGATGCAAAATACTCACTTAAAAATAATTTTCTATATGTTTGTCTCAAATTATATTCAGTTGAAAGAAATTAATTAGCGGAAAACGATTGCCACCTTTAAATGACCATTCAGACAAAACTTACCGAGAGTAACTAAGCAGATGAATTATGGGAAGACGCCTCTTGGGCTGCGAAACGTAGCCAAAATTGCTCCAAACTGATATTTGAATTTCTATAACTATTTTTGCAGGTCACAAAACTTCAACTCGCGCACTGCCTTTGCAGACAAAAAATGACATGTCAAAAAAAATGAAAAAAAATCGAGACAATTTTACTTTTCCTTGTGGCCCTTAAATTGCGTCACTTAGTAAAATATCTTTAAAAATAACCAGGACTAAGACTCTAAGTTACTAGAAACAAAGTCCAAACAAACTAAGACGAAGATAAGCTAATCAGAAGCCATCCAACCAAAATAACAGACATTTAATCCAATTTATTTCCTCAAACAGAAAACCTAAACAAATTAGACTGTTCAAACGTAAACTGAAAAAATATCGAGGACGATAAAATTACCAGTTTACCAGGAAATGGTTTGAATTAATATAAAGATAAATTCTCAAAATAATGCGCGAAAAATATGAAAGAAGCATGTATATATTTGATATTATTTAAGGCTTGCGTTCATACACTCTTAATTACGTATTTAAACACCTGGAAATATGAGTATTTTTTCATGAATAATACTTTTCCATTGAAACCTAAATCTAATTGAGAAAAATTGATTCTTATATTAATAATGATTATTTCAAGTCCGCTGGAAAATTAGAGAATTAATATCCAAATTTGAAACCAAGCTACAATATCTATTTTTGCGCCATTTGAGAACCATGGAAGCTAATTAGCAATTTAAAAAGCATGTTGACACTTTCATAAACCCACTTAGAGAAAAGTGATCAAAAGTTTTTATTCCGCTTGAATTTTTAAAATCAGGTAAGCTACTCGCAGAGTTAACGTTCATTTAAAGAATTCTTTTTTTAAAAAAAGTTCGAAAATTGAGTAAAACAACAGAATGTAGCCAAAAGAAAACATCGGAAAACTAAACACCACTTTTAAAGCTATAAATCTTTCACATTTTAAGGCTATTTGCACTATTGTTGTTTTAGTGCGTACAAAAGAAACTTTGAAAGCTAATGACTTAAAGCTTTCAGACCTTCAGCATTAAGATACGAAATTATCAAAATCAATGCAACTCACAATCCTACATGAAGCTTCTTGGACCAATTTTGGAATCATAAACGAGAAAAAGACTGGTCGTATACCATTTTAAAACCCCGTATCTTCCGACTGCATTTTCAGAGGTCAATTAAAATGTTGGTCGAAAAAATGATCAAACAAAAAGATTAAGTTTTTTTCTTCATTTTATCTCCACACGCATCATGTGTAAAAAGGTACGCCTTTATCATCTTCTATCGTATGAATGAGACAAGAGACGAAACCACTAGCCTCAATTCATTTTCGAACGATTTAAACCGCCGCTTACGCTTATGATAGGAACGTAAAATATCGCGCGTTAATTTCACGAAAAATGATCAAAGGTGAATTCTTTTTTTTTACAATTGAGCTTCAAGCAACAAAATAATTCGAACGAAAATCAGCAATATCAGAAAAATACAGCACTATAGAAAAAACAATATCACTGAAAACTATAGTTCGAAAACATAGCCAACCGACATCTGGAACAGAGTCAATGTACGCAAGGAAACAAAAACTGAACTGACTTGTTTTTTGAAAATACTTCGTCTTTCAAAGATCAATTCAAAAAATTATAGCCCTAGAGCTCTTTAAAATTCAAGATAAAGTATCTTCTAACTTTTACCCAGAGCGAAGCTACGCTAAGCAAACACTAGCGAGAACACGACAAAAACCAGCTCTATAAAAGGCAAAATGAAAAATTAGAAATAAGCCTCAATTATTTAAAACTCGGCTACGTGACAGGTTCGATCCTGTAACCAACAGATTATGAGTCAAACGCACTAACCACTCAGCCACGGACGCTTACCTGATCACAAACAAAAGCCGCAAACAAAGCAGAACAGATGCTATGAAATTTCCAATGCTAGAGATCGTGATTATAGCAGAAGTGAACACCTTTATTGAGCTTGTTTTGATTTGCGAGTTAGGTTAGAAAAAAAAGGTTCGTCTAATACACTACGCTTGAAGCTCGCTAGTGTAATAAGATTAACTCAATTTAAAAAAAATGGATCTATAGTTGAAAGTTCTTATTCCGCTGGTAAATTTGGAAACTAAATCCACTTTCGAAATTAGAAGTCCAACACGTTTTTCAAAGCCTTAGTTTTTCCTTTCGATAGTAAAGATTGTCTTCTTTTTAACTAGGGAAAAGAAGCGAATTTTAAAAATCCAAAGTCAAACTTCGAAAAATCAAATTTTGAGCGTGAACAAATTTTAAGACTTTTCCGAGAAAAAAAAATCAACACGATCTATATAAGAATCTGAACTGCCTTCAAGGCTCATTTTGAAAACTGAAAGCTATACATCAACCGCTCTATTATTGTAACGGGTTCGTTTTCTTTATACGGATAAGACAACGCAGAACACAACAAGAAGAAACTGACTTCAAAATAACGACAGCTTACCCCACACTCCCGTTTATATTCCACGTTTAGAGTGCTTAGGGCAATTTTCCTCAGTGTGAGGTAGCACTTGACTTGGAAGGATGCCACAACATTTCTGAGTGAGATATAGGCATTGAACACGCCTGGTGTCTCGGAATCCTCGGTCACACTGGACTCAGTGTCAGGCGTATTGTTGTCGTCTCCCGTTGACTCTGAAAACTCTCTTGTTGAAAGGCCATTGACCGATTGCGAGAAGGAGCTCATGCTAGTAGCCGGGAGGTTTGATGCAGCTGGACTGTTGAGTTTGTTAGTAGTTTTGTACCCTATTTGGTTGTTGTTGTTGATGCTGATCGACTCCAGCATCTTCTCTCGGTCGATGTTTGGTATTGATTGCTTTGGGAGGGAAGTGTTTTGAAGTAGGTAAGGAGGAAGCATCATGACTTTGTTTTTGGGTCTGATATTTGCGGGTGCCATTGCCACTGGTTTGTTCAAGTTTTGAAGCAATGCCAGCTGTTCCTGCTGGTTCAGCCTACTATTATTTTGTATCTGATGGTTTCTCATCGCCTGCAGCTGTTGGCCTTTGAGATTACTCAACAGCTGTTGTTGGTGATGGTTAGCTGCGAATGTCTGCTGCGAAGGCATCGTTGATATGGCGACTGGTCGAGATACCATGCTAGTTTTGACTGAGCTGCCTTGACTGTATATCTGCTGTGGAGATTGGGAAACACTTGCAATATTGGACAGGGTTGTGCCAACTAAACCAGCACTCCCACTTCGACTACAGGCCAAGTTCTAAAAAAATATATACGTTTTTTTATCAGAGTTATGGCCACAAATTGAGAGGACACTGTCTTCAGATGTATTTTTTACTCTTTCAGGTGCTAAAACAAGAAGTTTTAGCGGTCGAGTATGATATCGCATTAAAGCTTTTTTTGATTCCATCGCTTCTTATAATTTCGAATCTCGATGTCAAAAGTTGGTAAAATGACTCGATGTCTAAAAGTTGGCGGTTAAAGGTAATAAGCCAAAGGGGAGCGTCCCATGAGAATATGTTTAATACTTTAATGAGGCTGTTGAACGCTACAGTTAGTGCACCCCTCTCCAAAATTGCAAAAAGATTTTCTAAAATTTTTTTTATAGAAACAGTCTATTTATTTAAAAATTGTGCGGACTGTGGCATTCTTCCAGTACAAACTATGAAAAAAGACAAAAAATAATGATTACATTGATCTTGAACCTAAGTCTCGGTAAACTCGGTCGATTCCAAAATGGCTAGAGGAAAGACAGTAAAAAACTTCCGTACATGGGCCAAGTTACCAGAAACTAGAAAAAAACTTTAATCCTTGAAAAAAAAACAGATGTCAAATTGCAGATTCTTTTGAGCCTCACAAACAACCAACTGCCGGCAATACCAGGATTCGGAATTGATCTCCAGTCGTTTGCCTCGACCATTAATCTCAACTTCCAGACCAAGCATATTTACTCAAAACTTTCAAACTTCCCAGAAAAAAAAAGATAGACTGAAAGCTCTTTGAAATTCTAAACCATTCATAAATGACACTTTTTCGATAAAATTAACCCAAAGAAAACTGGATCAATAGGTAAATAAAATTTGTAATTTGCTGCGAAATCTGACAATTAATTTCCGTTTTCGAAATTAGAAGTCGATCAAATTTTTCGTGACATTTATACTTTCCAATTTATCTGATTATGCTGAAGAAAATGTCGAAATAGAAACAGAGCAATAAGTCTTAATTATACAGTGCTGATTTTAATCATCCGGACAAAACGAACAATTTTCAAACGCGTTTTTTTTTTCAAAATTCGACAAAGTGAAGAGAGCAAAACTTAGAATTTCATCAGGATGAACATGGTGCAATTTTTTCTCCGAAATTCTCAACCAAAATTTTAACCAAAAAATTGGTCATTTTGGCTTTTTTCAATTAATCAAGAATTACGCCGAAACTAATTTCTTAATTGATGAAAAATATATATCACAAGAAGCCTCTTACACAGCCCAGCAAAGTTCTAGAGAGGTTAAACCTCCAAAAATTTGAGTAATTGTTTAAAATTTAATAAATTTAAGTTTTTAATCAAAGATTTTGGGTTTCATATAATAAAAACCACGTTTCTTGACTATCAAGCAAAAATATTTTCCCTTAATTTTAGAGAGAATTTGACTGAATTTTAACCTTTCTAGAACTTTTTGGGCTGTGTGAGAGGCTTCTTGTGATAGATATTCCTTATCAATTAACGAAGTAGTTTCGGCGTAATTTTTGATCAATTGAAAAAAGCCAAAATATCCCATTCTTGGGGTAAAATTTTGGTTGAGAATTTCGGAGAAAAAAATGCAACATTTTAATTCTGATGAAATTCTAAGTTTTGTTCTCTTCACTTTATGTCTAATCTTAACCCAATTTGAGAAAACGTGTTTGAAAATTCAAATTTTGTTCGTTTTGTCCAGGTAATTTATATCAGCACTGTAGTTACGACTTTTAACAGTCACCTAGGAATGCCCTAGGCTCCACCCTCAGTGAACGTGAACGAGACGAAGCTAACAAAAAAATCTCAAACTCTGAAGTTTTTATCATGGTAGTTCGATCCTTAAAGCGCATCATACAAAAATCCCACCCACATGGACAAGCGAAAAAGCATTCAAGAGGTGGTCGAATGGGGTAAAAATTTGGAGGTAAGTTATCGCCGATCTGAATCCTTTAAAAAAGCACCCGCTGTTGCTTTGGCGCTCACGGATCGCATACGGTTTTTGCTCTCAAACTTGGCAACAAAAAATAGCAATGAGAAATTGCTTAGCGAACTGTCGTTTGCTTTCAATCTCAGAATTAGAATCGTTGAGATAGCGCTTGAAACGTAGGTGAAGCTCGACTGTTTCAAACTACCACAAGATATGGAAGTTTCAGAGTATATCTGAAAGAACCCAAGACAGTTCTTTCTGTAAATTGTCTAAATGAGCCAGTTTGGAAGTGACAATTAAGTTGCAAAAAATGACAAAAAAACTTTAAGCAAAAAGAACTGCACCATTGGAAAGACTACAAAGCGGTTTCAAAATGCTAAAGAGAAAACTAACCTTTCTGCGGGACCTAAGCCGACAAAAACTAGCTGACACGAAAATCTAGGATATTCAAAAACTTTCAGTTTCCACGAAAAAAAAAACAGGTCCCGACTGAAACCAAAACTCTGGGATTCGTCGTTTCCAGCATGAGTGTTACCACGGCACCAAATGCACAGAACACTTGAATTTTTGAAGGAAACAACTTTCTAAAATTCTTAATGAACAGCATAAAAAAACACCAAATAGCAAAAAAAATAGGTAAAATTTCTTGGAACTCAGGTAATAGCCTAAAACCTGAATACACTGATATGTTTTTAACATCGAGTAAAAAATGACCAAACTTCAGTCAAAGTTGGTGATGCGGTCACTAAGCCGATAAAAAAGCAGCAAACAGAAGACCGACGAAGATTTTTAGATGCGTGGACAATTTTCCGCTTACAAAAAAACAGGTCGTAGCCGGACTCCAACCATTGACCTTTGTCTTTATAGGCAGGCGCATACCCTCTGCGCCACAAGCGCTAACTACCGTTTGAATTTTAAACTTATATTAACCAAAGGTAAAACGACTCGAGTGATTCTGTTAAACAAATTAACCCAAAAAATCCTTTAAAAAAAAACGTTTCAGTTTCATAAGGATTGCTAATCGCAATAGAAAAAACATCTCAATGAAAACGATCGCATAACACCAGATCAACCCAAAGTCGCTCTTCAGACAATTCATTCAATTAATTCGAAAAACAACGTTAACAAACATCCTTCCAAACTGATGGTCTCTCAAACGCCAGAGATAGCTTCGGAAGAAAACAGCCTTCCCAGAAGTTAACGACGTACTCTTTTTCAGCTCCGCTGAGGATTGAGAGTTTGCAAGGTTCTCCGTACCAAAAACTGCCCCCTTGAACGGGTTTTCCTCAGTTTTCTCAGAAAGGCGCCGCATTCCCGCTCTAATGTTATTGCTTTAAGGACTATATGAAACGATTAATCAAAGTCCATAATCTCCGATAGCGGAAAACTGAAAAGGAAAAACAATGAAAACAACAGCCTGGCACCATCAGCGGTAAACAACAAACTGGCTTGGTTAACATTTTTATGATACATCTGTAGCGCTAAACTTTCAACAGACTTCCAGGAGATTACTCTTGATAACTAAAACTATCACAAAAAGCCATAACATTGCAATACAACCGGTCAAAATTTCTAAGTCTTGAGACGGAACTATAAAGAGTCTGACATGAATGTGATTCAACCTAACGTACCAATTTGATAATAATACAAATTGCGAGGTTTGTGCTTTTTCATAGAACTCAATCGATTTGCCAAATAAAGTTTTTCCATCTGACCCCTGAAAGTTGGGAGTAACCTTGTATTCGGGTTGTTTTAGTTTTTTCTACTTTCTGCTTTCCATGCAAAATCAGGTACCACAAATAAAAGTCGGAAAGAGTCGAGTGATATACCATAATCAATTCCTTGCAGCCGTGATTCGAACCCTATTAAATAAATTTTCCAAGTTTCCGCAGTGTAGGAAAACCGGTTTAAAATTTTCGATAATTGGTGCAATTTCGAGTGGAAAAAGCTGGCGAGCGCAATACCTTGCATTGGGTTTGAACAGAAAAATAAACAGCAAAATATACGAAGTCAAGGCTAGTAAAATTAAAAATTGCAGGAATAATTTAGAACACTAAACGCAACCACATTGAAAAATGAGTACATTGAAAGCTCCCACCATCTGAACCAATTGATGAGAACTATGTTAAACAAGTCTCAGATAAAACAAGTCCTTTCAATCGATTGATACTTGATCAGATAAACGGTCAACATATCAAGAAAGCAGCCATGAGAACGCACGTATCTCATGGACTATCTTGCCTTAATGCAAATGAATCGAGACGTATTTTAACATACTTCGGGTAACAATGAGTTGAGATTTCAAAAACAATTGCAAAAATTGCCAAAAAATTGGCTACCGAAGAACTAAATCCAGAACTAACGGACCCATATAAAGCATGTAGATTGATACCCTTAGATCGGAATCCAGGAGAAAGAACCATAGGTTTGGAGAATTTACGCGGACGATAACCAAATGCCTAAAAAACGAACTAATGTCGCTGGGTTCAAACTATCAACTCTGTCTAGGACAAAAATGTGGCATTGAATATACGATCCACACGCTAAGAGATCAATACAGCAAAATTGCGAGGTTTGCGCTTTTTTCATAGAACTCAATCGATTTGCCGAATAAAGTTTTTCCATCTGAACCCTGAAAGTTGGGAGGAACCTTGTATTCGGGTTGTTTTAGTTTTTTCTACTTTCTGCTTTCCATGCAAAATCAGGTACCACAAATAAAAGTCGGAAAGAGTCGAGTGACATACCATAATCAATTCCTTGCAGCCGTGATTCGAACCCTATTAAATAAATTTTCCAAGTTTCCGCAGTGTAGGAAAACCGGTTTAAAATTTTCGATAATTGGTGTAATTTCGAGTGAAAAAAGCTGGCGAGCGCAATAACTTGCATTGGGTTTGAACAGAAAAATAAACAGCAAAATATACGAAGTCAAGGCTAGTAAAATTAAAAATTGCAGGAGTAATTTAGAACACTAAACGCAACCACATTGAAAAATGAGTACAAAAAAAATCAAATATAAGATGTGGCAATAAGCCGACAAAACATAAGCACGCAAACTAAAGGCCAACATTTTTGGAAAAGAAGATTTCCAAATTGAAAAAAAAAACAGCTCCTGGTCAGACTCGAACCCCTCCAGGTTAAGTTGCCGACACGCATAGAAGTTTGAATTCGATATGAATTAAGATACAAGTGACTCTGTTGAACAAGTTGTTAACCCGGTTTGGTAACGCTTGCTAATTGCAAGCGTAATAACTGTTTGAAAACTTGTATTCTGTCTCAAATGGTAGATAAGACTCGCCTGTAACTGTTGTGATATGGGGTCAACCTTCCGCAGCAGCAATGGAACTCCTGTATTGCCTCCAGTTACATTGACAGTGCTCGGTACATTTACGCTGTTCAAGTGGCCCACTGCTACGTCTCTTCTAGCCAAGTGAGATTGCATTGGGTTACCACCTACATGATGGCTGGAACTCACATACTGCTGGCCATTGTGAACAAACTGCACTTGACCTTGGGCCGATGTCGTCGCCCTGAGTGTCCCGCCCTCCTGTCTGATCGTGATGATGGGGGTGTTCGGCATTGCAGGGGAGGCTCTGATGGCGTTGTTGGGACCTCGCGTGAGCACATATTTCACCTGGTGGGGTCCGTTGGACTGGGTTGCCACTGCCTGCATCTGAGGGAGGTGGGAGGGTGCATTTGCGCCATCCGCAGTTATAGCAGACATTAACTGAAAATTTCCGTTCGCATGATTTCTTCGAAATTATATTACCAAATCAATCTGTACGGCTTTGCATAATCTCTTTTCGTGCATTGATAAATAACATGCATTTGATTCAATTACTTGAAAAGTTGAACAAATAAAGATATTAAAACAAATTTACAAAAGAGTAAGTTTATATTTACAAGATCTATCTATACACATGATGGAAGAAAACATTAGTGAAAATATTGGTGATAAAATCCTCAAGTAAGGCAAGCTGATGAGTTATTTGATGAACGAGAAATATCCATTGATCATTTTGACTTAAAGGCCATCTTACGGTAGTTGAACAGAATGTTATTTGTTATCTCGGCCTGCAGCGCTTTCTCGTGAAAATCATTCCTTGAGCTACTTAGCCTCATATCTTCCGTTTGTTTGGCAAGCAACGCCATTTCCCGTCTTTTTTGAGCTGTATAATCTTTTTCCTCTTTTAAGACCTTCGCTCTCGTATCCTTTGCGTTGATTTCGCTTTCAAGTAGCTTCTGCATTCTTTTATTTTCGGCATCAACTTTCATTTTTGTAGATCTGTGAAGCTGTTCTTTCTGAACTAAATGTGTGCGAACTTTCCGCTGCTTTCTTTTCGTTTGCGTCTCGTTAAACTTCACAGCCCTTTCTTCATCTTGAGCCAACTTTACAGCTGTCATGTGTCTCCAATGTTCCATTTCTTCCTCCTTTCTCATCATGCTTTGTCGAACTAATTCCGCTTTGACTGTATCCGCCCTCACTTTCTTCCTTATCTCAGCTTCTTTCTGCATCTGAGCCCGCAAATGCCGTTCCTTGGCTAGGTCATGCTTACTTTCGATGTAACTTTTCTTTACGTCAAGTGAGTTCCAAAGCTGTTCGTCCATCGCTTTTTTGTTCTGAATGTGCTTTAGCTCTCTTTCAGCATTCTCAACAACTTTCGTTAATTTTTCTGTCCGTTCTAGTTCAATCTTACTCATTATGGCTCGATGACCCCGTTTTTCCAAGTCATTTTGCATACATTGAACAGCATGATTGCGTTCATCTTCCAATGCTTTCTTACGCGCCTCTTGTTGCTTTTTCCGCTCGAGTTCTCGCCATTTTTTCACTTCAATTTCACTTCGTTTCTTTGCCTCCCGACTCCTTATTCTAGCTGCTGCTTCAAGATGTACAGTTTCTCCGGTAGTAGACGCTGAAAATGAATCACTGCTGATCGACTTGGCGAACTTTGTTTTCGTAAACAAAGGCTGCTTGTTCGAACACGCAGACGGAGAACGAGCTATAACTCTTCCATATTCCTGGTTTGAAGCTGGTTTTCCGTGTGCGCCCGAAATCCGTGCAAGTTGCTCCTTATATCGTCTTTTCAAAGCATCTAGCGCTTCAACATCATGGCCCGAATCTTCGAGTGATCTATATTCTTCTTTTGATTCAGGAGGCTCCATAAAATGAGCCTTTCTTACAGGGCTAGCTTCTCTGGAATCTCCTCCATGTTGCCCATAGGTGTCAATTTCTGAATGTTCACAGTTAGATCCATGAACAAACAACTCTGGTTCTGGAACTTCTGACTCCGAAACTTTCGACGTCAACCCTTTTTCTATTAAGCTTTCTCGCTCACACCTCACGAGCCGCAACCTTCGCTGTCTTTCCCGCTCTTCACGCTCAAACATTCCTCTAACTACATTCCTATTTACATTCGGAAACTCCTCGTAGAAATCATCCATTGTCTTCTTCAGCAAATCAACTGGCTTTATAGCAAATTTACTACATGACTCCAAGGATCTAGGACTGGTTAGGACATAGCGGCTGTTCTGGGACCACGGTTCTTCGAAGTTGTCCAGGGTAATTATTGGCAAGTCGCTCAGTTCCTCATACTTCTCGTCGGAAACACGTTCGTCTGCTTTTTCAGCCTGGATATCTTCGGCTGCAGCCTCAAATGCCTGATCAAACTTGATATGGTCTTCCATGATCTACTCATTTAATGCAACACCATAAAAACCTTAAAGAAAAGGCAATAATGGATCTTTTCCAGCTTGTCAATCGCCATAAAAATGCAATATTACGATACCCAAGGCATTTTTTCTTGCAATAGGGCATTTTCGTAAAAATTCATGCAGAGGATCCTTAACAAGGATATCTGGTTGCTTTAAAAACCCAGAATGTCTCTACTGCTATGAGAAACAGTTTTTTTTTGGTCCGTGATATGATGAGATTTCGCAAAAGCCAAAAATTTAGGATTAATATCTTCTGTAAGAGTCTGAAAAGAGAGAACATTGATAAGCAAAAGCAAAAACGTGTGCCGGACGTCAATCCGACGGGACTTTAAGCCAAATCGTAAAAAAAAGGCACACTTTTCTCAAGCCGAACTTTTCTCAACAACTCAAGAAAATGATTTTTTCTTTTACTATTTTATATAATCAGAAAGTCAGAAGAATCAAAGTAACCGAGGCTACAGCCAGGAGTCCATTCATCACATATTCCAGTCAAAATCCTTAGAACTTTCTACATATGGTGATAACGATAAAAAAGATGATTAAGTGTTGATATTGTTGTTATGAATTTCAGCGTCCCTGGAGGAATCTCTTACTATGAAGCCGAATGTCTCCAGTTGTTTCTTCATGATTGACAGTCACATGCGTACTGCCATGTACAGTAGTTGTGGTGATTGTATTTATTTCTCAAGTAATCCCAAAAAAGAATTTGTTAAGGCGATTTTTAAGTCCGAGTGGATTGTAGAAGCACTGGGGTAGCCTAATTGTTGTGATGAACTTTTTACATAGTGTTTCTGTTCAAATTTACCTCATGTGTAATTTCATATTATATGCGCTGGGCTTTCTTCACAGACTTATCATACCAAATCTCGCCATACCAAATTCCCTGGCGTAACTAGGCGCATGAAGGAGTGAGCTGATGAATCGATCTCCAAAACGACGTCAGGTTGTACCACTCCTTACTCTTTCTTTTTCTCCATCGCCCTTGTCTTACCAATTTTAAATCCTTATTGAAAGTATTCATAAATCGCCCCAAAGAGCTTCCTTTCTCACCACAGTTTCTGTGTTTCAGGTAGATGCCACGATTCCAGGCAAGACGCATCCCTGAGTTCTTACAGAAACTAGTTATCGGGACTTTAAGGACCAAATATATCAAACCAGCTCTGGTAAAATCAACAATTCACTCCTACCGCGGCGCAACGCTTCATGATCTGTTTGAAACAGTTTTGCAATACAGACCAAAGCGCCTAAATACAGTAACAAAAATTGCTGGATACATGACAACAGGCTGCATCAAAAACTAGAAACGCAGAGGAAAATTTTGATTAACCTTGTCACCAACAAGTTTCAACCCCAGACACTGATCATCGCCGAAATAATTCAGAATGGTACTAACTCTGAAATAAATTGCAAAATTTTCATTCAAAATCATGGGTTGTTCAATTACATACACTCATTGTTTCACCTAACTTCAAACTTAATCTAAACCCTCATATGATCGTCCGTGATGGCATCCATTTCCTGTTCAACGGTAAGAATTTCTTCACTATTTTTTTGCAAGTTTATTCTAAAAACACTCTCGCAAACTTGACACCGCCGTCCTTCCTCAAAGGGCTACTCAAGCACGTTGCCTACGGTGCCTTATATGTAAAGACAGCTTGCGAGGCGGAGGTGTTTGGTGCTTCACATACCCAGGCTACATGCATGTAAAATGCAGCGGCCTAGTCAGCAGCAGTGATCATTTTGACGATTTCGGCTGTCATCGCTGCACCTCCCACTTTTATTCAGCTAACGACAGGCATGAATGCAATCCTCAAACCCTAGCTACAACCACGCTCCCCCAAATGCACTCTCAACCTTCCACTGCCCCACACTCACAAAACTCAAGAAAACCTTCCACTATAGAAATTAAAACAACTCAAAATCCATTATTTTTATTAATTTTATGAATTATTTCATCTTTTTTCACATAATTATCCCATGATCATATGACAAATGCATATTAGCAGTTTCCCACAGTGTTATTGAAGCGCGAATTTTTTTCCTGAGAGAAATAAATATTAATTTTTCATAAAAAATTGAAAAACATCTTGCCCTAATGCAAATGAATCGAGACGTATTTTAACATACTTCGGGTAACAATCAGTTGAGATTTCAAAAACAATTGCTAAAATTGCCAAAAAATTGGCTACCGAAGAATTAAATCCAGAACTAACGAACGCATATAACGCATGTTGATTGATACCCTCAGATCGAAATCCAGGAGAAAGAACCATAGGCTTGGAGATATTACGCGTACGATAACCGAATGCCTGAAAAACGAACCAATGTCGCTGGATTCAAGCTATCAAAAATGGTACGCAGGCGACGGAATCGCAGTCGGTAAGTTAGGCAATTTACAAACCGTCCTCGATAAAATTGTATCACAAGGTAAATTTTTTGGCTTTCAAAATCATGCATCCAAATACCGAATTTTTTTCAAATATGAAAATTACAGTGAAGCTGAGAAAATCTTTGAAAAAACAGGAACCACTATGAAGGCAGGCGCCTGAGTGCTTGGTTCAGTTATAGTAACAGAATCTGATTGTAAAAAATTCCTCGAAATTCAACAGTTTGACCACATCCAGTTTAAAAATACTGACGAAAATTGCTAAAATCTCCCCTTAAACGTTTATGCCTGCTATACTAAAGGAGTTAAAGAAAACTTTTCATTATTTAACCGGAAAATGCCTAACACTATGAAAAACATAGAAATATAAGAAAAGATTATCAAAGAACAATTAATACCTAACCTAGTTAGTAAAGACACATTAAACCCCCAGATCCAAGAGACATCTTCCTTACACCTCTTAAAATGGACGGCCTTAACATCAAGCCGCCATCCGATCTTGAAAGCTATCTAGAATGGTCTAGGGAAACATCACTAGTACTGGAGTCTGAAGATCTTGTTACAGCAATAACACAGCAAGAAAAAAAATGTACGAAAATCAAAAAAATGAAAACTGATAGAACAAACGGAAAGAAAACAATACTCATTAACTCCTTAAATGATAGAGATAAATACGCAATCGACCTGGCCTCTGAAGAAGGAGCCTCTAACTGGCTCAACGCTTAACCATTGAGCAGATATAGCTTCAACCAGAAAAAATCAGAATTCAGAAATGGTATCTACTTAAGAAACGGATGAGAACCGACCAAAACCTCACTCACAAGCTTCAAATGGTAAAATTTGGAACAATTTTTAAAAAATTTTCAAGATTTACTTTCAAATAGATTTTTATCTTAGAAAAAAAATTTATCTTGAAAGATCGAATTTTTTTTAAGTGGTAACTTTCAGATGGTAAGTTGCGACAAAATAAAGCTTCAGTTTAGAACATGTTTTCATAAACTATGATATCACAGAATATTTTTTTTCGAAAGAATCTTTTAAATACTGATTTCAACTTACTTATATTCCCTCAGGTTATCTGGGGAAAATTGTCAAGAGGGGATTAGTTTTGACAGGTTAATTATTCCACTCCACGGGATATCAGGGGAATCAAGACACTTCCTCACGGTTGATTACTTTTAAATCCCACTTAATCTTTTATTCCCCAGGTTATCTGGGGAACGGATGACAGCTCCATTATACTTATTAATTTTATGAATTTTTTATCTTTTTTCACATAATTATCCCATGATCATATGACAAATGCATATTAGCAGTTTCCCACAGAGTTATTGAAGCGTGAATTTTTTTCCTGAGAGAAATAAATTTTAATTTTTCATATAAAAAATTGAAAAACATCTTGCCCTATTGCAAATGAATCGAGACGTATTTTAACATACTTTGGGTAACAATCAGTTGAGATTTCAAAAACAATTGCTAAAACTGCCATAAAATTGGCTACCGAAGAATTAATTCCAGAACTAACGGACCCATATAACGCATGTTGATTGATACCCTTAGATCGGAATCCAGGAGAAAGAAACATAAGCCTGGAGAAATTACGCGTACGATAACCAAATGCATAAAAAACGAACTAATGTCACTGGGTTCAAGCTATCAAAAGTGGTACACAGGCGACGGAATCGCAGTCGGTAAGTTAGGCAATTTACGAACCGTCCTCGATAAAATTGTATCACTAGGTAGATTTTTTGGCTTTCATGTTCAAGCATCCAAATGCCGAATTTTTTTTCAAATATGAAAATTACAGTGAAGCTGAGAAAATCTTCGAAAAAAAGGAACCACTATGAAGGCAGGCGCCTGAGTGCTTGGTTCAGTTATAGTAACAGAATCTGATTGTAAAAAGTTCCTCAAAATTCAACAATTTGACCACATCCAGTTTAAAAATACTGACGAAAATTGCTAAAATCTCCCCTTAAACGTTTATGCCTGCTATACTAAAGGAGTTAAAGAAAACTTTTCATTATTTAACCGGAAAATGCCTAACACTATGAAAAACATAGAAATATAGAAAAGATTATCAAAGAACAATTAATACCTAACCTAGTTAGTAAAGACACATTAAACCCCCAGATCCAAGAGACATCTTCCTTACACCTCTTAAAATGGACGGCCTTAACATCAAGCCGCCATCCGATCTTGAAAGCTATCTAGAATGGTCTAGGGAAACATCACTAGTACTGGAGTCTGAAGATCTTGTTACAGCAATAACACAGCAAGAAAAAAAATGTACGAAAATCAAAAAAATGAAAACTGATAGAACAAACGGAAAGAAAACAATACTCATTAACTCCTTAAATGATAGAGATAAATACGCAATCGACCTGGCCTCTGAAGAAGGAGCCTCTAACTGGCTCAACGCTTAACCATTGAGCAGATATAGCTTCAACCAGAAAAAATCAGAATTCAGAGATGGTATTTACTTAAGAAACGGATGGGAACCGACCAAAACCTCACTCACAAGTTTCAAATGGTAAAATTTGGAACAATTTTCGAAAAATTTTCAAGGTTTACTTACAAATAGATTTTTATCTTAGAAAAAAATTTTATCTTGAAAGAT